ATTTGGCATTCAATTCTGAATCATTTTTTAATAACCCAAAATCATATTTAATATTAGGAGATAAAACTAAAGATTGATATGAGCATTTATAAATGGGAAAACAGGACGATGTAAAAGTGGGAGATTCTATGGATTTATATTTTTCATAACTTTGTATTAAACATGGAGGTTTTTTATGTTTCCAATAAGATGAAGACGAAATAAAGATATATAGTTGAGATAACTTTTGAATAAGCGGATGATCAGATAATTGTAAACAACGAAAAAAGAAGCGATCAGATAGATATTGTCTTCTTAAAACCAAAGGTGGATCACCGACTTCGAGCTGTAAAGCATTGATTGGACTTGATTTCATTGCTCCAGAGATAATCCTCAAGGCCTTTGATTGAATTAAATCCAATTTCTTAAAAGCAAATGAACTTCCTGGAGCTAACAAAAAAGTTCCATAATCAATGACACTCCTTATAAGACCATTATAAGCAAGTTTTAGTGAAACGGGATGTGCTCCCCACCAAACTCCAGCAAGGCACCTAAGAATGTTGAGGTTACGCTCACATTTCGTAGAAATATAATTACAGTGGGACAGACCTGTTAATTTATTATCTAGCACGATACCTAAAAATTTAATTTCAGTCTTTATAGGAATGTATGAGTTATCATAAAGCACCTTAATTTGTTGCGGTGATCTCATTCTTGAAAACAAAACTACACTACTCTTGGTTACAGAAAGATTAAGACCATTTGCATCTAACCACGTTTTTAACAAATCTAATGAATCAGATAATTTGGCAGAAGCAGATTCTATGGACTTCGCAATAAAATATAATAAAAGATCATCAGCATATTGTAAAATTTTGACGGATTTATCAAGGAATAATTCTAGATCGTATGTGTATATGTTAAATAAGATTGGACTGAGAACAGATCCTTGTGGAAGGCCTTTCCATACTGTTCTAGATAATTTGGTATCTTCATCTAAATTCATATATATTGTTCTTTCTGATAAAATATTAATAATGAAATTAGAAAGCATTACCGGTACATTTAGAGCTTGTAATTTAGTTTTTAAAATAGAAATTATTACATTATCATAGGCAGAATTTATATCTAAAAAGGCTGAGAGGATTGACAAATTTTGTGAGAAAGCTATATGAATATCTGAAATAAGAATGCTCACATTATCTAAGGTGCTCTTACCTTTCCTAAAACCAAACTGGTTCGGGGATAGTAAGTTATTACTTTCTAAAAACCATTCTAGACGGTTCTTCACTAAATGTTCAGCTAGCTTTAGTAAGACAGAGGAAAGTGCAACAGGACGGTATGAAGATGGTTCAGAAGGTGGTTTATGAGGCTTTAGAAATGGTATAATAATCTGAGACTTCCATGAAGTAGGTATATTTCCCGAAATAATTATGGAATTAATTATATTTAAAAAGTAAATTAATGTCGCATCGCTAGCATTTTTAAAAAAGGAATACGGTATACCGTCTTCTCCCGGTGCAGAGTCTTTAATACAAGCTAGAACACCTTTAAGTTCTACTAGAGTAAAAGGAGAGTCAAGTTCGAATAATTCGTCAGAGACGGATAGAGAAATATTGTAAAGGCATTCCGGCACATAACTAGGAGCAAGACGATCTAAAAATTTATTCGCTAAAGTTAAATCGAGTGCAGAACGTGATGTATGATCACTAAAGGCAGATCTGAATCTTTTAATATTATTCCAAACGACTGATGAATTAACTTCTGGACAGATAGAAGAACAAAATCTTCTCCAGCCTTCTAATTTCTTTTTTTCAGTAGTTTTCGAGTAGAACGTGAAACTGCGGTGTAAATTTCAAAATTTTCTGGTGTCATGTAATTATTATAATTTTTTTCAGCCTCTTTACGATTTTTAATTGCTTCCGTACAATCTTTGTCCCACCAAGGTGGCGAGGGAATTTTCCCTGAAGCACTATTTTTAACAGGAAATAATAAATCAGCAACCTCCTTCATATTTATCATCAAGTCATTACAACATTGATGTTCATTTCCATGGTAAACAATAGGTAACTCCGATATTTTATTATCTAAATATTGTTTGTAAATATTCCAGTCTACATTTGATAAATTATATTTAAGCCGAGGACCACTCTTTCGACTTGAGGGAATGGAAATTGGAAAAGAAAGAATGAGGGGGAAAGTGATCGCTTCCGAAAGTAGAGGAATGAGGATACCACGACAGTGAAGAAGCTAAATCAGAAGAACATATTGAAATGTCAGGAGCACTAAACCCTTCATTCGGTGCAGTTCTACGTGTTGGTACATCTGAGTTAATAATACATAAGTTGTAAGTGTCAATTATCGTCAGGAGTTTTCCACCATAAAAATTAGAAGTAGAACTGCCCCACGATTGGTGTTGAGCATTAAAATCGCCCATTACGAGAAAAGGTTTAGGTAAAATTGAAAATAATTGTTCTAGTTGTGAATATATTTGGCATGTAGGATCAGGAATATATAAAGTAACAAAACAGATACCATTTATAATTATAGCAGCTGCATTAATGCCGCTATATACAGGAAGCGAAAAAGAAGAAAAAGGAAGGAGTTTTTGACCAATATGGCAACACCGCCATATCCGTCAGCTCTATCATCACGGAGACTTGTAAAGCCTGAAATCCTAAAAGGATATCCTGGCTTTAACCAAGTCTCTTGGAGAGCTATTATAAAAGGATTATATTTATTAATCAAATAAAATAAGTCTGATTTCTTGTTTGTTATGCTACGACAGTTCCACTGAATTATTAGGACTTTGTAATCCATTGTGAGAAGTTAATAATTGAGAAAATACATTGTAAATGGCATCGTTGGACGGTGGTAAAGTTGTTTGTATCATCTTCGATTGCGATAACACTTTAATAAGCATGAGAATAATATCAAAGATGGATTGATTATTGTCAATATTATTTGATGATAATGCACAACCATTAGAGGGAGCAGGAATATTATATTCCTTAACTATGGCTTCATGGGCAGAACGATCATATCCTTGTTGTGCTTTTTGAGGAGAGCGTGGTTTAAGTGTAACTGTTTTTTTATGTGATGATTGAATATGTGGTAATGATGATTTCTCTTTGAGGAAAGAAGATTGAAAATGAGATTTATTGGACGGAGATGATGATGTTAATACATCTGAATATAGTTTAGAAGTGGGAGGATGAAATTTTGATGCTTCAGCATAAGAAACACAACTGTGGGCCATTGTTTCTTTAATGGCTTTCTGACGTGCATATTCAGGACATTTCTTACTAATTGCTGAATGAGAACCATTACACAAGATACAAGAAACATTTTCCTCATCTACTTCACATTTATCACCTGTATGATTTTGCCTGCATTTATAACACCGAGGATTTGAACGACACTGCATCTTGACATGTCCGAACCTACAGCAGTTATAGCATTGGATAGTGGGGTAAATGTACAAATCTACAGTTAATGATGTGTAAAACATAAATACTCTTTTTGGTAATATTTGTCCATCAAAAGTAATAACAATGGTTTCAGTATTAATAAAACTTGGTTGTCCTTCATTAATGGTCTTTTTCTTAATTCTTCTGGTTTTTAGAATTCTCCCACAACCTATAGGTACTGATATATTTTGGATTACTTCCTCTTCTGTCCAATCTTTAGGAATACCCCTCACAATTCCCATACGGGTTACATGGAAAGAAGGTATAAATGCCTTAAAATTATGTGTTTCTAAGTGACTATTATTTAAAAATGCATTTGCATTTTCAAAATTTGAGAAAGAAAGCGATAAACGGTTTCTTCCTATTCTTTTGAGGCTACCATTCACTATATTATTTATCTTATTAGTGTGTAAAAAGCGACCAAATGCAATAGGATGTAATGTAGTGTTATCATTAGGATGTGTTTCATTTTTTTGTACATGAACGACATAAGGAGCTACATCCTCGGCATTGTACAAAGTTCTGCTTAAAGTACTGGGTGGAGAAGCAGGTTTAACAGACTCGGTATTATTTACAACTGGTATTGATACTTGAGTTTGATTCTCATCCTCAATACATTGACAATCACTATCTTTAATTTTAGATTCGAGACCTTTGGTGTGCCTCCTTCGTTTTTTATTGCAATGTTTGCAAATGCGACGTTCGCCACGTACTCGCTTACGTTTAGAACTTGCAACGCTAGAACCATCTGTGTCCATACTAGATTCACCCAATATATCAAAACTATTATTAAATGGGATAGTTATATTTGCAGACACCTGGGGGGTTGTCCCCCCAGGGTCTATAGGTGGATCCATAATGTCTAATTAATATAGGTAATTTACTTACCAATATTTACAGCAACAAACACTATTACTACAAAATATACAATTATATATACAATCTAATACACAATATATAAATAAAACTAATCCTTATATAATTAAAAATAAAATTAATTTAAAGAAGATCAAAAAACACTCCCGCTTTTTTAAACGTTTCCCGCGCTTTTCACGTTTTTTTTCTACATTTCTTTCTTTTTACTAGAAACGGGTTAATTAATGGATATTTAACTCAAATTTTAACCATACAATCCAAAACTTGTACGTTTCTAAAGATTTGAATATTATGTATACATAAACCTTAGATTGTATAGATAGTGTCTCCATACAAATGTTTCAAAAAAAGCGGGTCAGCTTTTTCATACAATTGTGTACGCGACAGTGTTACCAGATTACAAATTATTACTTTAGATTAAATTGCAAAACTTTACTTAGGTATTTACTTTACATTTCGCTTCGCAAATAAATGGCGACCGTCTGGTCTCGACACAGAACGGGCCACCCGTTCTTTTCCCATGGGTGTCATAAGAAGCGCTTAAGGGTACCTAATAATCGAGAGATGGGCAGCAGCGACCCTCTTAAAATGTCACTAAAGTCTAACTGCAGTTACCAACCCGCCTATCAAGCGTGGCAAGAGTGGCGATAACTAGGTGTAAATAAAACGCAAGAATTCTTTAAATATTTTGGTTTCTTATCTTACAAATATAATACTACAGTCTACAGATCATAAAACAATTCATCACGCACGCGCCGCTACATTCTCTTTATTAGAATCTTGTCTTTCCACGAATTTGTTGATGGGTGATCTTGCTAAATTCTGTATTAAAACAAAAAAGAAATTAATTAACACTAAAAACAAACATTTACAATTAATATGCAGTCATCCATAAATGGCAGAAGGTCTATGAAGTTCAAATGGGAGGAAAATCTATCTATATACATATATCTGAAAGAGATATCTTCCAGCCAACTCGGTGCAGTAGCACGGGTAATCTAGTGCAGGAAAGGTACAAGAAAAAAAGAGAGCATAAATATAAGGCAAGTAAAATATATGTACTCTTATTTTTTTGATGGGTAAAAATGGTATGGTAACCCTGCCTGCGCTAACGGGACACGCTGGCGGAGCAGCAGTGAAGGGTGATAGGTGAGAATGAAAACAGGCCAGTTAGCCCGTCATGATGAATTCATCAGGAATTAACTAAGATAGTTTCCAGGGAGAAGCGCGACGTTGACCTGGTTGGGCATATTGCTAGCAATGGGATTCTCAGTCTCCATTACTAACAATCCCTTTCCCCCTATGTACTCTTATTGAAAGTAATGGAAAGACTATCCTGTACGTTAGAAGTAAATCGGTGCTACAGTAGTGCAGTGTGCAGCAGTGCGAAATGAGGACTTAAGAAAAAATGGGTCCTACAAGGACTGAGTTCAAGTACCATTAATATTTATAATTACACTGTGAACTTTACAGGAAAAACTTTAAAATAAAAATAATTTCGAAAGAACTATTGTAATTATATCATTTCTACTCTTAAGTTATGAAGTGAAGTACGTTATAGTAGAAGTGGGTAATATATAGCAATATATTGTAGTTACAATATCTGTATATATTTAGATACAATACCTATATATTTTAGGTACAATATCTATATACTGGTCCAATAAAAACTATGTTAAAAGTCTGTTATCTAAAAAATAATATTGGATAACAGATTTTAAACATATTCGAAAATAGATATATGACCGAAATGGGTGATGAACTTTAAAAAGTTCATCGGCAATCAACGTTCAGGGGAACCCAATATATAGATATCGGATCAGTATCTATTTTAACCATGCCTACATTATACTAAGTCTATGTTTCTGGAGTGCTTAAAATTTTATTTAAGTCTGTTTAACCGTTTTTTTTTATGCAACTTAAAATGGCAAACAAGCTGACAGCCCATCTGATAGAATGTAGTAACCGTCGCCTATAGATATGAGCAATAGCATGGACATAACAGAGTATACTGTTTCGCCCATGATACCCCCCCATGCGTTGCCATTCGTAAGGACTCGGGTGTTATTCCTCTGTACTCTAAAAATTTACGCCATATCCTACCCTTCAAACCGAAACACAGCCATGAAGAAACATGGTAGAAACAAGAATTGTACAGAGATACCCCAGCAAACGATTTTTGTACAAAGTCTGCCTCTGGTAACATGTGTATGGATATATATACATGCTCAAAATTTTCGTTTCTGTATATAGTATAATAAAATTACCAATTTTTTAGCTCGTTCTGTGAGTATGGAGAAAGCAAAGTGGTCCAATATGACTCCGGCGGGTAACGCCACGCCCTGGAACCTGTACAGCTGCTTGATATCGCTGTCTGATGAACCTGAAATAAAAAAAATAGACAATTAGAATTTCGAAGGACATGCATGAGAGTAAGGTGCTTTTTTTTATACAACTTAGAATGGCAAACAAGCTGACGGTCCACCTGATGGAAAATGGTAACCGTCGCCTATAGACATGAGCAGTACCATGGACATAACAGAGTACACTGTTTCGCCCATGATACCCTCCATGCGTTGCCATTCCTGAGGACTCTGGTGTTATTCCTCTGTACCCAGTAAATTCACGCCATATCCCACCCTTCAAAGCGAAACACAGCCATGCAAACACAACTGCTTCACTGTTGAAACACGAATGGGACAGAGGTATCCAAGCAATCGACTTTTGTACAAAGTCTCCCTCTGGTGCAAACAGGGATCGCCATATAGTCTCGGCATAGAGCGGGCCACTCGTTCCATTTCCGTGGATGTCAAGAGGTGACTAAGGGAATTTAACCGTTGAGGAATGGACAGCAACGTCCCTCTTATAACATCAAAACTTAAGTGCGGTGGGGGAGAGGGATTGTTAGTAATGGGGTCTAACTGACCCATTGCTAGCAATACACCTCTATCAGGTCTCCTCCACGCGGTTCCCCCTGGAAACCCTTGCGGTTAATTCTAGTGGAGTTTGCCATGATGGGCTAACTGACCTGCTTTCATCGTCACCTATTATCCCTCACTGGTGCTCCACCAGTGTATACTGAAAGCACAGGCGGGGTAACCATTCCATTATCATCCATTTAAAAAGAAACGGTGCGGTCGCCGACTCGCCTGCCAAGCATGGCGACTACTGTCAAAACTCCCCTTATGGGGGAGGCCTATGTTCAACAGTGGACAGTTGACGCCTGATATGATGATGATGATGATGATGAAGACTAGTTCCAAGAAATGCTACACGTGAATCAACATGCTGTATATTTTATAATTTACCAGTTAGCCTGTGTATGGAGGTTATGGAGACGCGTCCGATTTGCGCCGTATGGCTGATGAGAGGTCCCTTCGATATGTCCACGTGTTTGCCGACCCTGTACAGCGTCACTTTACCTGTGTTACAATATTAAATATTACTTTATAATTATACTATACTAGCGGCCCATCCCGGCTTCGCACGGGTGGACATTTTTACAACATTTTAAAAAGTGGTCATTGTGACATAACGATAATAGTTGGACATATAGTATAGCGAAGTTTTTTGTAGTTATTGATATTTTCTTCAATATTGTAGAACATACTTTTGTTCTATCACCAATAGTTTCCGCAGCGCACGCGACCAAAGATATTTTATAGCATTTTTTTACACCTTGAGTTACGTTACTAGTTTTATAGTAAGGATCTCTAATCTTTTCTAGCAATAAATATAGCCTATGTTACTCAGGGTGAATGGAGCTTTCTAATGGTGAAAGAATTTTTGAAATCGGCAAAGTAGTTTTTGAGTTTATTCATTACAAACATACATACATACAAAAATACAAATCTTTCCTCTTTATAACATTAGTGTAGATAATTCACTGCCATATCCTACCCTTCAAACCGAAACACAGTCATGCAAACACAACTGCTTCACGGTAGAAACACGAATGGGACAGACATGACCCCAAACAAATGACTTTTGTACAAAGTCTACCTCTGGTAAATATGGAGTATATCCTTTTAGAATTTGAAAGATTTTTATAAATCGGTTTGTAATTGACGGAGTTATGACGTAACAAATAAAAAAAAATACAGAGTCGAGAGCCTTTTTTTGAAGCTGGTTCTACAGAATGACACTCACCGTTAGTTCTGGCTATGTTCGGTATTTGCTTGGACTTGTGCTCGTTCTCCTTGAACATCTCGAGGGCTAACTCCTCGCCGACCTCCAGCCTCTCTATAAGGTGACCCTGACGTGCGAACTTGACGAACTCCGCTGTGATGGTGTACAGCTCCTGGTGTGTCGGCGTCCAGTCAGGGAGGGTCGGGAGGTCGATGTCGTATATGAAGGAGCCGCTGCGAACTGGAATAGATAGGGGGGAAGGGATTGTTAGTAATGGGGAGGTTAGACCCCATTGCAATATCCCCTATCAGGTCGACCTCCACGTTGTTTCCCCTGAAAACCATTGTGACTATTTATCCTTGAATTCGTCACGATGGGCTGACTGACTAGCTGTTTCATCCTCACTGGTGCCCCGCCAGTGTATACCGATAGCTCAGGCAGAGGGTTACCATTCCATTATCATCCATTAAAAATAACTGGAATAGATGGGGGAAGGGAATTGTCAGTCAAATTGATTGGGGGTCAAACAGCCCCATTGCTAGCAATATACAGGTCAACTACCACTATTGTGGTCAATTCTCGTGGAATTCGTTACATTCATCATAAATACACTGTGATACCATTGCTATTTGTGAAAACGATGATGTTATTTCTCTATACCCTGGAATTTCACTGCCATATGTCAAGTAGGTTGTGGAATGAGCTCCCCAAGCCGAGATTTTACTTAGAGACTACAGTATGGGGTTCTTCAAGAAGGATGTATATAGGTTTCTTCAGAATTGGCAACGGGCACATAATACCCGTAGTATTCGTCCATAGGCTACAGTGACCATTTACCATCAGTTGAGCTGTATGCTTGTTTGTTACTATCATGGTATAAAAAAACTAACTGTCCGGTCCGGGGAAACTATGCAGTTTAACGGTAACATTTTCTTTGAACGCTATGCTGGCACAAGCTCCGAGCACCAACGAGCAGGTCTTCCAGAATGCTTTATTCACTTGTTGTGGTTCTGCTACTGTGAAGTTTTGAAGCTGGAAGAAAATATCATATAAATATTAAAAAAAAAAAACTTTTGACACTTCACACAATGCCATCTAGTCCTGGACTAAGCAAAGCTAATAAATTAAATAATTTATATAAAATAGAAATTTTCTTATTCTTTTTTTAAAAAATTTGATCACAAGTGTTTTCAATTGACTTCAAAAAGAAGGGAGTTCTTAATTAAGAATTGAATTCAATTGTATTTTTTATGTTTGTTACCTCATACGTCCATCATTTCTAAACCAAATTAGAATATTTTTTATCTGAAAGGATATACTTGCAGATTGATTCTATAGAAATTTTATCAAAATTAGTTCAGTAATTTACTTGTTAAGTCAAAATAACAGCATTTTGTCACAACTGATGCCAGTTTTTCTGTGGGACACAATCTTTAATTATTAAATTGTTATATTGGTAACCCACCTATTTTCAGTTTTGAAGTGGGAGATATGGCCATATTAAATTATAGTGCAAGGAGATAGAATCTTATATATGATGCAGTCAAAACTCTTAACCAGTCCAAAGTACTTTTTTTTAATGGGTGATAATGGAATGGTACCCCACTTGCGCTATCAGTATACATCGGCGGGGCACCAGTGAAGGAAAATGAAGCAGGTCAGTTAGCTCATCGTGACGAATTCAGCAAGAATTGTTCACGATGGTTTCCAGGGAGAACCACGTGGAGGTTGACCTAATAGGGCATATTGCTAGCAATGGGGCTGTCAAACTCCATTGCTAACAATCCCTCTCCTCCTAGTCCAAAGTAATTCTGACTGAACAGGGTAGTCAAGTGTTTTTTAACTGAAAGTTATTGGTTGTTAGTACTTTTGAATGCAAATTTGTGGTTAGAACATACTTTTAACTGTTAGTTTAGTCAGAAGTATTATTGACTAAAGCATACAGTCAAAATTATTATAATAATAAATATATTTTATTTATAATAGATATATTATTATATATTATAAATAAAATATAATAATATATCTTATATATAGCTTTTATCATCTTAGTGTTCATACACAGTAACACATAAGGGGTATGTTGGGCATCACAGCACCTAAAACAGTGCTATTCTGTAACTGAATTTACAGTTATTATCTTGATTTCAGAGGGGCTATTGCTTGTTTTATACAACTTAGAATGGCAAACAAGCTGACGGCCCACCTGATGGAAAGTGGTAACCGTCACCTTGTTTGTCATTGTATAAAAAGTTCACAGATTCACAGCCTACCCCCTCTCTAAATATGTCTATGGATAATTATAATAAATCTTCTACATACCTGTAAGGTGCAATTTTCTGTGAGTGGTCTGTGCATGTCCCAATACACGTTTCCGTCTAACAGAGCTAGAGCACTAGATTCAACATGCCACTCGCTCATATCTGAAAAAAAAAATAAACATTCAATTTTTTAAATTATCAAATGAGTAACATGGCATGCTTATACTCATATTTTTTTAAATTTATGTTTGTAATGTAATGTAATGTAAATTGGACTCACTTTTCCACGCTTAGCCTCTCATTTGGGCCGTTGTGCATATGAGTCATTTATTTATGTTTATTTCATTTAAAATCTATCGAAATGTAAAAAAATTTTAGTGATAGAATGTAATAAATAGAGTTTTTTTTTTTTGTGAGGGGGAGTATTCATCTCTATGTTGTATAAAACAAAGACACTTACTGCCATCTAGCTTAAATCTTTTAAACTACTTAATAGATTTTAATGCAGTTTTCATCAATAGATAGAGTGATTTGAGAGGAATGTTTATATGTGTAGTTTAATATTGTTTTGTGTTAATTTGGTGAAATATTTCATCATTTGACGATAATTGTTCAAGATGTCGGAAGAAATCAAATTAATAGAGTACTTCATTGAAAATGCTGCTTAATCCATTTAATATACAGCAAAACAATGTGTGGTGGGATTGTGTCTCTTTTATAGGTCTACAAAAATAATATAAATATCAGTGAAACTGGCATCAAAGTTCATAATCTTATTCAGAAGTAGAAGAAGAAACAAACAGACACACAGACACAGACAGTGACTTTATTTCACACTATTTATTGATGTATCATTTAAAATTGTTATTAACAGTATCGTTTCAATAGAATTTAATAAAAATTAAGCTATTTTTTTTTGTTATTACAGAAACACTTATCAAATGACATTAGTAATAAATCGAAAAATTTAATCAGTTAATTTTTTATTTAGGTACACTACTATTTGCCATCAGCAGTCTTATGTTCGGGTCAATTATACACTTGTTTATATTATTATTGAGTTCTTTTAGAACAGACATATATCAGCTATAGTTTTGTCAAATAAAATGCAACAGTTTAATAAATGAAACTCACGTTTAGCACAGTCATAAGGCGTGGAAATGTCTTTGTTCATAACCAATGTGAAATCTTTAGGAACACCCTTGTAATTAACTTCTATTTTTTCTATTCTCCCAACATTTTCCTGCTGTCGCTTTTTTTCCAATGTAAACAAGTGATTACGCCGCTCTGTTGCTTCTTGGGTACTTAAAAATCCTGTAAAACATTGTATATTTTATTTAAAAATTCTAAGAACAATGGTTCTTTTAAAAAAAAAATTTACTTACTAGTATTTGGTATAGTTTTAGCATGATGGTTTTGCATCACTATCCTCGATAGACATGTAATATGCCGCTTCATTTTATATATTATTAAAATTAAACAAGTTCAATAAAATACTAAAATAATAATAACATTTATTTTGAGGTTATATTTTACTTTTTTATTAATTTGTTTTACGGCTCTGGATGCAAGTCCTATTGATATTAATAATATAAAAAATACGTTACAGAGCAAGTAATCACTACGTTATAGAGTAGCGATACGTGACTTTATTAATCCGACTACAACGTATTTAACTTTGAATGATTAGGATTTGATATAAATGAAAGGGTTAGATATACATCAATTCTATTGTCTCCATTTTTTTAATCGTTACTTGTTATCACTTAGCGTTGAATTAGTTGTGCGGTACAGGTAATAAGGGCTTGGTAGTACCATACATAGGAAAGGACTTTGTTCTAATTAGTAAAATTATTCGAATAAGAAAATTAGTATATTATTAATTTAGTAGTAGAATATAAAATTAGTAATTACTAATTATTTACTATAATATATAAACACAGTCTATGTATTTAAATCTAAGAACAAGAATTTAAATTGCCAAGTAACAGAGTTTAAAATTTCAGGGTTCAAATCTCCCGATTTACGAATTAATGAACTCAAATTGTTTTACCGTTTCCAGCAATTGTTTCGATTTTATCCGGAAGTCTCGTCTCGCATAGCCCATGATAGGGGATTCGTTTATTTCCATTTATATATTATTATTTATTTCATAATAAAATTTTGTACAAGTGGCAAGGTTATTGCTATATGGCATTCTCTACTACTTAAAAATCATTATTTTACTTAATCATTAAAAACAGAAGAAAATACAATACGGAGATCGAATAAAAAATAATTACCTCCTTTTCCATATTATCTAATTAAATAAGCGTTCAATGAAAATTTTGAAGTAATCCTATTTTAATTTCTTATTTCGCCTAGTCTGGCAAATCAATACTCGGCGATTTATAGCATGGTGCAATTGATACTAGAAATGTTAACTGTGGATCGTGAAAAAGTACTTACTGATTTTATTACTGATCTACTTTGACTCCAAAAATAATAATAATAATAAAGCGCACAGTAGAGATGTATACAAGGAGTACTTATACAGAATGTGCATATACAAAAGGTGGCCTTATCGCTAAAAGCAGTCTCTTACAAATTTAGATTTTACTCGAAATTCGAAATTGAAATGTTACTTTTTTTAAGAATAAAAAAAATAATAATAGAAATTAACTATACTCATACAGCTATATCATTCGGTGTTTGTTATTATTCTAATTTTGAAAAAGTGAAAGGTTACAATCAGTACTTTTTAAAAGTACTAAAATTCTTTGGATACACCTAATAATTACTTTAAGAAAGGGAAAATTAAAGGTCTTTAGAAAGGCGGCTCTTAATCGAGCAGTATGTTTTCTACAAATTCTGGGCCAATTTGAATGAATTTAAGATTTATTTGTGAGTAAATCTTGCATATAAATTTAATATATGTATCAGAGCCAGGTTTATAAGAAAACAAATTTTAAATTACTATCAATATGAGTAAAAGTTAGATTATTATAAATAATATTTATTTTATTTATTTAACATTATATAAATCATCCAACCATAGTCCTCTTCCTGCCTCTTGCTCTCACCTCTTCAAACTTATTGATAATTTCTTTTATATTATTGTGCTTGTTGTAATTCATATAAGCATCTAAAATCTTATTGAATAAGCTTGGAAAATCATTATGTGTACTAATTATAGCTCGTTCTAACACATACAAATCAACACCCATATCTTCAGTGCTCGAATCGACATATGATAAACCAAAATCTATCATGACTAACTCTAAATTATCCTTTTGCAGCCATTTTGAAACATTATCAGTATCATTTGGGGTCCTTTCAATGAGCAGCATATTTGATGTGGTCAAGTCACCATGGATTATGTTATTTTCATGCAATTTCCGAACAGTATGGCCTATCATGGTAGCAACAGCTTCCAATGTGCTCGCAGCATTACTATTCTGATCAGAATTTACAACATTAATGATGAAATCCTTAACAGTTATACTGTTCTCAAAATGCTGCATATAAATTCGACGTCGCTGAAAATCAACTAAATACAATGATGGTGTCTTAACTCCTGCTGTTTTACACCGAACTATGGACCTCGCTTCGTTTTTTATTCTTTCTTTCGTGATAGTAGCGTCGAGATCTGGGTGCCTATAATTTTTCTGGAATCTCTCCTTAATTAAAGTGGGCTGGCCCAAGTATTTGCATACATAGAGTTTTGCTTCCGCGCCTTGTTTCAGGACTTTAAGTTCTTCGTCCATAATTTAAGGCTCTCTTCGTATATATAGACAATGAAGTATTATAAAAAACAGATAAGAATAATATTTTTTCCTTTGTTTACATTTATCACTGCATATTTTTGTTGCTGCTGTTTGCAATATAGGAAATATTGACTAAGTTCGTAAGGCAATTGGTATCTTTAAAATTTTGGTCAGTGAATAACGTCAGGAACAGTATAAAATTAAGTTTAGTTATTATAACTATGTAAAAATAGATAATTTTGTATTTTTTTAGGCGATTCAATTCAGTACATCAAATGTCAAACAACACGTGAATGTTTTGATTTTTTTTAGTACATTTTTTCCGTTGTGAACAGGCTAAGGTCGGAGACTATGCTGACTAGTCTTAAATATGATAATTTGTCTGGAATGTATGTTTTGAGATTTAACTATTATTGCCAGTAGTCAGCAGTTGACAGATGCGATGCGGCTTAGAATGGCAAACAAACTGACGGCCCACCTAATGTAAAGTGGTAACCGTCAACTATAGACATGATCAGTACCATGGACATAACAGAGTAGACTGTTTCGCCCATGATACTCTCTATGCGTTGCCATTCCAGAGGACTCAGGTGTTATTCCTCTGTACCCAGTAAATATTGATATGTTGTATTTAACGTGTGTATGTATGTGTGTATATGTATGTATATATATATATATATATATATATATATATATATATATATATATATATATATATATATATATATATATATATATGTGTGTGTGTATATATATATAATTATTTATAATTTATGTAAATATTTATTTAAATTTCTGTCTTGCACTACTACTACCCACTCACTACTTCCTATGCAACTGAGTTAGGTTGACTGGAAGAAATCTCTTTTAGAGATAAGTTTGCCTTTGCTAACATTGTTATTAACTTATTGTTGTTACTGTATGTTTTAGTGCAATAAAGAATATATATATAAATTCACGCCATATCCCACCCTTCAAACCGAAACACAGCCATGCGACCACAACTGCTTCACGGTAGAAACACGAATAGGACAGAGGTACTCAAGCAATCGACTTTTGTACAAAGTCTTCCTCAGGTGATACAATTTTATAATTTTGTTATTTAGATTTTTACACGAAAAAATCTAAGTTACATGAATATTACATTCGTACTTTAACTATTCGTACTTGACCATGTATGGACTTCTTAATCAGGGAGTTATTAGTATTTATATTATTGATCTATTATTTTATTATTATCAATTAGAGAGCTTTAATTAGATTCATATTATGATTATTAAACATCCACAGCAGTATTACAAAGTATTTATAAATCTACTTCTCTATTTTTTAGGATTGATTGACTGTATAAATTCGCCTTAAATAGACCGCACATCAATATTGTAGTAGACATACCTATAGAGGTATGTCTACTCTACTTATACTTATTTCAAGTTATATGTACCTACTACTTTCTATGTTCGTTATATGTATGTTTGTATTCACTCACTCACTGGAGAGCGAGGGAGGCTGTGGGCGTGTGATATTGGTTATTGCAACAGTGCCGGCCGGCGGCACTACGTATAATTTAATTCATACACCCAATTCCCATCAAATTCTTTAATGGAACCAGTGATTTATATGAACTGTTAGCTTTTTAGTGCCAGTTTAACGTACGAACACTCCACTGTCTCTTATAAATACAAAATTGTGTGAAATAATACCAAAAATTTTATAAAATTTTTGTAGTGTGAATTTTACTGTGGATTTTTTTAATAGTGAATATAAAATGTCTGTGGAAGGTTTGGAATACGAGACCATCGTCCAAAACGGACCAAAAAAAGTAAGTTTTTTTTTTTTTTATATTCTTATTTTGTGTAGCAAAGGCACATTAATATTATGCCTATATGACATCTATATGCCTATATGGCCGGATTCGTTCTCTCTGCGATACGTACAAAAAGAGGGTGGTGGGGTGATATGCTATAGAAATGTCTGGCTGCATTTTAGTAGATATAACAAACTGGGATTGGCACGACGAGTTGCATTGCAGTTGCGTCTAGATATTGCCGACTTGCGATTCCCTCTTGCGAGCGACACGATGCATTTTATTTTTAATTGGATTGGATTAGCAGCGAATCAGTTTCTTGGATTGAACGATACCCACTAATATATAAATCCTAGTGATTTTTATTTATTTTTAAATAAAAAATTATTAAGAGTAAATATTTATAAACCTAAAATAAACTTATTTTGTCACTAAATAATATGTAATATTTTTTTGTATTAATGTATGTATTATATTATTTACTTTTATAGTAAATATATCATTGTTAAATCTATACAATATATATATATATATATAATGTTCATTTTATTACCTTATAGGTAAGCTTATAGATACAAAATGATCATTTTGTATCTAAATACCTATAAGGTCTTTAGACAAAGTAGATAACTCCATAACTTATAACTACTTATTTTCCTGAGGGAAAGGGACTGTAAGTAACGGGGACCAGTAGCCCATTGTTGGTAATATGCCTACCCAATTCGACTTATACCTAGTTTCCCATTGAAAACCATCGTGTTTTTTTTTATGGGTGAAAATGGTATGGTAACCCCGCCTGCGCTAACGGGATACGCTGGCGGAGCACCAGTGAAGGGTGATAGATGAAAATGAAAACAGGCCAGTTAGCCCATCATGATGGGCCTGGATGGACCCTGTCAGGTCGACCTCCACGTGGTTCCCCCTGGAAACCATCGTGGCTAATTCTAGTTGAATTCGTCAGGATGGGCTAACTGACCTGCTTTCATCCTCATCAGTCATCTATCAATGGTACCCCGCCAGTGTATACCGATAGCGCAGACAGGGTTAAATATCACGCATTAAAAAAAATCCTTTATCACCCAGTAAACAAAAAGTACCTAAATACTTTTTTATCATTGGTCTAGGTAGGCTAGCTGCATTAATACTTAGATAAGTACATTATAATAAATCTATGAATTTATATTAGTATGCATTTATATAAATAACAGAATGATTCACGAGATGAAATGTGAAAATTGTGTGAGTCATTCTTGAAAATAAGTACTTAAATTATTAACTTGTTTTGCGTCCGGCGATCTAAAAATAATGCTAAAATCAGCATTGTACTAGTGCATCACTTATGACAAATACGACCTAGAAACGGCGACACAAAAGAGAGAAAGAAAGAGAGAGAGAGATAGAGAGAGATAGCGTCACATGAAAGAGAGAGAGAGAGCACCACGAGAGAGAGAGAGCACCACGAGAGAGAGAGAGCGCCACTTTTAAATGATTAGTACTACAAAAATATGACTTCAATACATATTGAATTGAAGTCATATTTTCGAAGAACGCAAAACTTTAATGTGTGCATATTTTCTTTTGTTTGTATACTATTTAAAATTTTTATTTTACGTGAAAATTTTGATATTGGCAATTATTCTTGTAATTGGAGTTAACTTGTATACTTCTATTATACATATAATTATTCATGACTGATGTAGCTATTATATACAGTGTTTGATGAAGAAACATTCGAATAAAAGGTATAAAAGAGAAAGTAAAAGGACGGCGTTTATTTTAGAAGTGCATAGAAAAACACGAGCAATCGTAACAAAAGGACATATGTTTATTTTTAATTCTTCGTTATTAATTATTCTAAAAAGGTTGAATCGTGAACGATCGCAAACATACAGACTAGAGAGGCATCTCTTATAAATTTATTTATTATAGCTATCGAACTGTTTTGTCTCTTTCTTTTGTGCTAAATTCTCATTTTGAATGAAAGTGACTAAACAGTGTAATAGTTAAAATAGATTAGTAGCTTTTAAATTTATAAATAATGGGGTATGTCAAAGGCCAAATACTATCCTTTATCTATGCTAAAGTTGCAATTATTTGGCGGGTTATTATTATTTTTTTATTTCGTCTAATCTGTATAGTAACGTTTCGTTCATACGCATAAAGTTGTTGACATTTATTTTTTAATTTATTCGTTAAATTAAAGAAAGTGTTAAATACTATAGTAGTAAATATATGTACTATATACTACGCTGCGATATCTACGATATCGACCCTGCTAAACAAACAGTTACCTTTGAATATATATCTAATTGTATTTTTAAATTATGTATATCATCTAACGGACAAATTAAAAGGTCGTGCGAATTTGACGTCGCGAGATCTCCCAAACAATTCACTTAGGTATCTCAGCTAACGGGTCTTGTTAATGAATGGAAATGTATTTTTTATGGCTGAAAATGGTATAGTAACCCCGCCCGTGCTATTAGTATACGCTGATGAAGCACCAGTGAGGATGAAGTCTTTTTTGATGAGTGATAATAGAGTGGTAACCTCGCTTGCGCTATGGGTAATACCTTGGTGGGGCACCATCGAGGAATAATAGGCGAGGATGAAACAAGTCAGTTAGCCTTTTGTGACAAATTTTCCAGGGGGAACCGCGCAGAGGTTGACCTGATAGGGTATATTGCTAGCAATTGGACTGGTAGTTCCCATTAATAACTCAAATAATCCCTTACTCCCATTTATAAGTGAGGAATTTGCCATAAATTAACGACGATGATTTTTAAAGAGTATTTACTATTACTACCAACGGAGACGTTAATCACTGTAATTTAAACTCCCCACCTCATGCTCATGAGTGTTTGAACAGCCGATGACCTCCGATTCGTGTTATTATTATATAGTATAATATTATTATACTTTATTTATATTCACTTATTATTTACATTACTGTACACAAAATTAAGGAAAAATTAACAACTTTCCTGTTTGCAGGTTTTAATATAAAATATAACACAAATATATTATTAATTTATTTACCTTGTTACCTTACCTACATTCGCCATTTTGAATCAATTATATTTATTATAGGAATTAAACGTATCTAAATCGCAAAGGGAGGCGTCACTAATCTAAATTAAAATTTATATCATATCTTTTTTTTTTTATATCACAAAGTATGGTATGGCAAACAAGTATACAGCTCGTCTAATGGTAAACAGTTACTGTAGTTTATAGACGCTTGCAACACTAGGGGTGTCACGTGCGCATTGCCGACTCTAATATAAACCCTATAGGCTTCCCCTATAAAGGGAGAGTTTGCCAGAAGTAGCCACACTTGGCAGGAGGCTTAGCAACCGCAGTTAGGCTTTGGTGATATTTTAAGAGGAATTCTGTTGCCCGTCCCTTAATCATTTCTTAAGTCGCCTCTTACGACGCCCACGGAAAAGTAAGGGCTGGCCCATTCTATGTCGACACCACACGACAAAACTAATATTAGAAATAAAATATATTTGAATTTCTTGTTCGTAATGGATAAACTAAAAAAAGATAGGTACTTTTTTTTAAAAACCAATTTTAAAAATTCCTTCACCTATAGATAGTTATACTATGAATGTGTAAAATGTGCTTTAATTTATAATTAAAAAAAACCATTCGAAGCCGG